AAAAAAAAAAAAAAAAAAAAAGAGAGAGAGAGAGAGCAAACAAAATAAGAAATTTGGTTTATTAATACACAGTTTTGTTATGCCTTTAATGCACCTTGATTGGTTTTCAGATGGTGTACCTAAATTTGTGTTTACATCACATTCTGTGAAAATTAATTACTGCATGCATTCAATAGAGCCAGGCAAAAAACAGCTGGCATAAATTCAGACTTTACCTATATTTCCCAACAGCAGCATTTTATAAGGCGTGCAAATTCCGAATTACTGTTCCACAATCCTCCCTAGTAGAAGCATATCTAACACATTGTAGACAGCAGTATGGGACCCCTTGTGAGGGCCAAGGCTTGTGCTTCTGCTGAGTGGTTGTTAAACTCAGGTGTGCTTCAGAGTAAACTATAGCCATGGTAAATCACAGATTGCTTTGCTCTTCCCCTTTTTCTGATTCAATAGGCCTGGGGTGGGGCCTGAGAATTTGCATTTCTGATTCCAGTGCAGCTGATGTTGCTGGTCTAGAGTTTATAAATTGAGAACTGCTGCTTTAGCTTCCGTTCTAACTTAGGGATTCCTTATTTTAAATCTCTTCCTGAGAGGTAAGGTACTAGAGAAAGATGTAGGCAGTGTCAAATTATATATACCATGTGTTTGTTGGTAAATTCTAAGCAAAAAGAGAACAAAATCATCTCACTTAAAGTTCAAGCTGGTTTACTATGCTCTTTAAGTCTGTAGTTTAAGAGAACTGTGTTTTTATCTACACTTCATTTTTCTCTTATTGAATGATAAGTATTAAGGAAAGGATTTCATAAGTATATAGAAAATTGTGAATTGAGCCTAACAGCAGTTTTAGGGTGATATGGTCCTCTGTGAGCTTTTCTTATTACTTCTGAGGTTTAGCTTTTGCTTTTTATATAAATTTCCTTTCAATGGGAAACATGGATGAGGCTTCAGTTTTAAAAGGTAATTTCAGAGAATACTTGTTTGACAGTCATAAATATCACTTACATTTTGACTACGATCATCATTTTTGTTGGTCTAATATGGATATTTCTTTTGGATTACCATACGATGGCTACAATGGAATAAGAAGTAAATTTAACAGTTTAGTTGATGTTCTATTTGCAAGAAATAAAAATATTCCTTTGTTCTTTGAAGTGCTAGAGGGTTATAACCATTGATTTTTTTTTTTTAGAGAAAGATCTAACTGCTTAAATTGTAGCCGAATAAGTTCAATGGCCATGTAACTGTCAGCAGTTTAGAAATCATTATATGTTTTCATTATATTTTTAGATTAGACTCTGATTTTGTATCAATTTAATCTCTGGGTTGCTTTGACTTGTAACTGTTTTATTATCATCCATATGCAACAAGCTATGGCAGCAGTTCAGCAGCAATTGTTGAGTGCTCACTTTGTAGAGAACAATACTCCAGCAATTATGAAACAGTAAGTAATAGAGCTACTGAGAAAAAGAGAACTATGAGAGTCACAAAGGAAATTGTGTCTTCCAGTGCAAAAAAAGCCCCTCAGTTGTCTTGTTTATGATGTTAGTCTCAGCCAAAGGTAAAAACACTAATGAAAATATAGTTGGAGAAAAGTAACATGGCGTATTTTCTTCATATGAAAACAAACATATTTTTTTCTCCCTCCACAGATAAATCTCCTCATTTCCTCCGTCTAGGGGATGTAGAGGTGAATGCAGGGCAGAATGCTACATTTCAGTGCATTGCCACAGGGAGAGATGCTGTTCATAACAAGTTATGGCTGCAGGTAAGGCCAAATTGGCAGCTGAAATAAAGAGTATACTTTATGTTTTTAAAAAATTACAACTGGACTGTTTGTGGTCTCAACCTCTTGAGGGTGTGTGTGTGTGTGTTTGTGTGTGTGTGTGTGCGCATGTGGTGGGACAGGCTGTCTGTGTGAATTTGACTGCAGATTCACGTTAGAGATTTCCTTTTCTGGAATAAAATGCATGGGCAAATAATTAATAAGTGTTTTTGTTAGTATCTAGTGAAACGTAATAATTTTCTCTGTTATATTCAAACTGCAAAAAATTCTCTAGATCCATTTGAAATATTAATAAAAATGTGATGTTTTTCTTATTTAATAGTATTTTAAAAACTGACTTTATAAGAATTAAGTAGAAGCTGTCATGCTCTTCTAAATTTTTTAAAGTCTTTTAAGAAACCTTTGCGGGTATTTCAGGAAATATGAATTGGAAGAGAGCCAATTAAACTTTTGTGCTCGAGGGTTAATCACAGATCTGAGGTCAAGAGATTTGCCTTGCGCATATTAAGTCCTTAATACATCTGTATTTAATTATGATTGGACATACATGTTGGGGAGCTGTAAATGGTTCATATAAACAGATTTAAAAGAATCTGAGAGGAAACTGTAGACTAAGAAATATGACTTGCCTTCAGAAAATTTATAGAAAGTAGATCTGTCAGTGCCAGGGTACCAGCAGCTGGGAGGAGCTGGGAGCAGCTCTAAAGCCAGGAGGCTAAACCTAAAAGTGATGGTTAATTGGGCTGAATATTTGAAGCTAGATGATACGTAAGTAATAATATTCTCTGAGCACCTTTATTATTATTTTTTAGGTTCTCTGCATCAGAATGAAGAAAGAGATTTCATTAGTTGTGAATTTTAAATTCATGAGAATGCCAATAGAGACCCAAACAAAAAAAAATCATGATAAGATGAGCTTAGTTTCTTCAACATAGACATCATGATTTATTTGATGACATCCTTTAGATAGGTGAAAGTAGTGTTGGGGATAATTATTAGTTTGCAGGTGCTTGTAATAAAGGTGTTAATAAATGAATATTGAAATCATACCTAATATAATGTCTGATACCATGCTGGGTGTTATATGTGTGTTGTTTCATCAAGTTCTTACAGCATGCCAATTGGAGATTACAACAGGTGTACTTCATATTAATCTAATTATTGCCACTTTTATAATTTATTTGATTTTCAGGTATCAGGATACCATATTTTGTGTCCAAATATGAAAAAGGAAATGAGTGTCCCTTTTTGTGTGATTGTGCTAATTTATCCTACAGAGATTGAAAAATAGGATACTTTTTCCTGGAAAGCATATTGCATAATGTGCAACCTGTCTTATGAACTAAATGTCAAGTCAGTTTTCTTACTTGTCTTTCTATGCCTAAATAAACAGTTTAAAAATGATTTTAGATATATGTTCTAATTGTTTTGCTAGGTATTTTTTCATTTAGATGGGAACATTAGCTGGCATTTGGCTTTAGCTGTGAGCTAGATAGTCTTTTCTTGGAGAGCTAGAGGCTCTGTAGGTCTGCCCTTGATTTTATGCCTCAGGATTTAATATGACATTGAAATAAAAAGGGTTTTGTATCCTCAGTCACCAGCTGCCTTGTGGCAACAAAGGCTTTCTGGACCCTGCTGGTCTGAGTGGGTTGTAGTCCAAATACTGCTCATTTTTGTTTGTTTGTTTGCTTCCTATATTGTAGATAATCCATTTCATGAGGTTTTAAAACATTTTCCTCCTGCCATTTTTCAAACAGAGATGAGACTTCTATGTTGCCTTCTCCCCTACTTCACCTCCCCTTTTCTCTCTCTTCTTTGTTTTTTTTTTTTTTTTTTTTTTTTTTTTTTTTTGGCGTTTGCTACAGAATGGTGAAATTGTGTATTTCTCTTCCACTTTGACATGGGCATTGCCTCATTCTTTAGTAGTGTACATATTCACCTTAATTTATTCAAAAGCTATTTTACCTTTTTCAGTAATACCACATCAATTACCTTAATTTATTCTCTTATATCACTATTCTCCATGTATAAGAAATCTTGAAATCTATCAATTACTTACCTAGGTGTTTTCAAATTAAAATAAAAACTAATTATTATGGAAATTATGTAAAAATGAACCAGATGAGATTGATCATTATCCATATGTCAGTCAATTAAAAGGTGGCAGTGATATAGAAAACTTGCCCACCTTTTGCTGAAAGTAGTAAAACCATAATAAAGCAGAAAGAATTCTGGTTCCAAAGTGAAGCTACCAGCTAACTCAGGCAAATAGATGTCAGATTATTTCCATTTCATGTAGAATAACAGCCTAGAGTTCAGGAAGACTAGTTCTTAATTCTAACCCTTACAAATTTTTTAACCCAGTTAATTGCCATGGCCTTAGAGGTTTCATTTAAGTGTTCTGGGCCTCAATTTGCTTATTTATAAAAGGAGATTCTGAGTAGACACTAAAATCTCTTCTAGCTGTAATATGCTAAACTATGTCTTTACATTATTTTTGGTGGCTTTAAACATGGCCTTGATAACCTTTTTGTGTGGAAGAATGTAAAAGTTTTGGTATTTATTTTGCATGAGAAAAAATGATACCTTAAATAAAGTATCATTGTAAGAACGAATGCTCAAAATATCTGCTGATAGTACTGAGAATGATTGTACTTGAAGCAACTCAATGAAAGGTCACTGCAGTCTATCACAGAGGTAACGGAATAACAGAATAGTTGTTAAACATGCTGTGGTCAGGCAAAATACCAAATGGCAATCAACTTTTTATGTCCTTCAAATAACTTACAGTATGTAGTATTGAGCTTCAATTGGCAAAATGTTGTCTAAATATGGGCTAAAGTAACAGAAACTAGAAAAAGAGCCAATTTTCTATTTCAAAGGAAAAATGATACACTATAACTCTGTGAAAGGTATACAGAACATATACTTGATTATATTTGATATTTTAAATAATTTGTTATGGAAAAACTGAATAATTTTTCTCACTTGTATATTCTTTCCAGGTTATAATTCATATATCAATTATTTTTTTTGTCTAAAATGAAATACAAATTGGGTAAATTTAAAAATGGCGGGGGAAACACAAACAATGAGTTGCCTGAGTTAATCTGGGATAATTTCATAAAGCATATCACGATGGTTTTGAAAGTATCTATAGGGAGTGTTCTTTCTTGTAAGAATCAGATTATATAATTATGGAGTATTTGAAGTAGGTTTTCTGTATTTCTAAATATTTAGAATATATAATTATGTAATTATAAAGTATTTGAAGGTTTTCTAAATTTGTAGGTATATGGAAATATATTAACAGATTTATATATTTACATATATATAACAAAATATGTAAACCAGTCACATGCTAAATGAACTAATGATACACAAAACAACATTTAATGTTTTATGTCTGTGTCAGTAGACTAAAAATATGGTAAAATCATGAGGTTTTCTGGAACAGTTTTTACAAGTATGTTATGCAGTACATTTATGCACTAAAGGAAATTTAGAATAAAGTCTTTAGTCACCCTTAGAGAACTTCCAGATCATTTTTCAATTGAGAGTTCAATGAAGTAGCATATAATCTGGATATAAACACAATATTTTTTGGTTAATGATTTGTAAATTTTTTCCCACATGAACAGATGTTTTTCAAATCTTATAAGTTTTAGAACTCAGCCATTTTAATTTTATAGTAGTTCGCTCTTATCCATGGGAGATACATTCCAAAAAGCCCAGTGGATGCCTGAAACCGCACATAGTACCAAACCCAACATATACTGTTTTTTTCTGCATATGCATCGTCATTCGTACATCAAGTTTGACTGACAAATTAGACACAGTAAGAGATTAACAGCAATAACTAATAAAATAGAACAATTATAATAATATACTGTAATAAAAGTTATGTGAAAGTGATCTCTTTCAGCCTGTCTTCATACTTTACTCGTGCTTCCTAGGATGAGGTGAAATGATAAAATACTCACGTAATGAGATGAAGTGAGGTGAATGACATAGGCAGTTTGATGTAGCATTAGGCCACATTAAACTCCTGAGAATATGTCAAAGGGAGGTTCATTTGCTTGGGGTGACCCTGCATCATTGAGCCATGACAATTTTGATGGTTGGGATGTCAGAAACACACAATGTTGAAGACTAACATGTGAGGATGGCAAGATTTCATGACGCTACGCAAAGTGGAGTGCAATTAAAAACCTATGAATGGTTTATTTCTGGAATTTTTCATTTAATATTTTCAGACTGTGGTTGACAGAAGGTAACTACATCTGCCCAAAGTGCAACCTTGTATAAGGAAGGATTTCTGTATTCCTGAGGAACTTTCAATGATAGGGAATTTATGATTCCTAACTTGAAGCTATGATAAAGCTCTGGTTATGGGAAATAAGATCAAAAAAGAAATCATAACATAATTTATACTGAAATGAAATAATAAAACCATCTGGTTATATTCCTGAGAAATGTCAAATAATTTTCTTACAGGAAAAATAAAAATTAGAGAGTACACTTTTATAGGTTAAAAATATTGGTAATTTATGTATTTATTTTTATATTTTGAATTATTTATTTTCAATATTGAAAAGATGTCAAATTCAAAAATTTTTTAAAACTTCAAATATTTCAATATTTGAATTATTAATATTTTTGAATTATTTTTATTTTTTAATTTGAAATTATTATCACTACAGACTAGTTGTACATATTTATGGGATACAAGTGATATTTTTGGAAAAAGCATACAATGTGTAATGATCAAATTAGGGTAATTGGGTTACCCATAACCTCAAGTATTTATTATTTCTATGTGTTAAGGACATTCCAGTTCCACTCTTTTTGTTATTTTGAAATATACAGTAAATTGTTAACTATAGTCACCCTATGGTGCTCCTGAACACTAGATTGTAACTGTTACTATTATGAATACTGGATAAAGTGATTGTAGGAAAAAGTGAATATATAAGCAACAA